CCACACCCACACCCACACCCACACCCACACCCACACCCACACCCACACCCACACCCACACCCACACCCACCCACACCCACACCCACACCCCATCTCCCAAGCATTCCTATTGACAAATCATATTCAGAAAGAGCCACACCATTCCTCTTGAACCTAATTATGTGCACTGTTTTTTCATCTATGTCACAGACAATTTTACGATATAATCAAAACGAGGGTGTGTGTGTGAGGGGAACAGTGCGCGTGTTAATCTGTTAATTACGTTCACCCACACCATTACCCAAACGTATACTCTCACATCCTTACACGCATACACACCCACACTCACCCTGCATTCTTTCCTTGAAAATGTCCCTTTTAGGCGCAGTTTTCATGTGATGGAAAATGAATCAATACTCACCCGCTATATCCTTATTGTTGACAGATAATTGTAGCATGAGAGCAGCTCTAATATTATTAGCACTTATGCGAGACCCGCGAAAACAAAAATCCAACTCATGCATTCGGCTAACTTACGAATATGAAACTCTGAAACAGTGCTTTTCAAAAAAGAGAACCTTCATATTGTTACAATTTTTTTTTGAATATTAATATATTTCCAAAAAGATTCAGACGAAATTTTGTGAACTTAGTAACAGTTTGCGATACTGAATAAGCGCAAAACTAAAATTTCTTTCTCTTCATTTCCAGCTCGATAAATACTTAATTTTTCTCTTGAGCTGCATGTTTCTTCCTCAGATTACAGTGAAAAATAAGTAATATTGCTATTTACTTTGGTCTATAAAATCTGATTAATGCAAGCGTTTAATCAACCATAAGTTTCTACTTCATCGAAGTCGTCATCATAGCTTAAATTATGTCTCAATTATCGATTAGCCGATTTGAAAATCATTCTCTTGCGATGCAGAAAGCCCTGTTGTATGCTTAGTCTGGAAGAAAATGAAACTTGACAAGCTATCGTATACTTGAATACTCTTATATTTGAAAAACAAGCGGAACTTTAACCGAGATATTCGACTCAACTAAATTTTTCGACCCTTCTTATGAGTATTTTATTTATAAAAAAAAGTAGGCTGATTTTTCAAAGACCGATTCAGATAAAATCGACTAAACCGAATGTCAGTTTGCAAGAGAATATCGGTAAGAATCATTGGTTTTTCATAGGCACGCTGTACATACACGAGTAGCTCGAAATATGAAGATCTCATGAAATGCTGTAAGTTTCACCGGTAAACATATTGCTGATCGAAACCATTTGGAGGGTGTGGTTGTGAATGAGGATGTGAGCTAAGAGGATGCCCTAAGTCTCATACTCTCGCTCTGACGCTCACCCACACCCTCACTATAATTCTAATCCACACCACACACTCACTGCACCTTCATCCTCACTCTCACACCGCTCAAGGTGGATACAATCCAGAAAATTTCTTATGAATGCAAATGCAATAGGCAAATGTATTATGGGAATCGACTTTTCTAATACACTGCATATCCCCAAAAATCCTTGAACAAACACCTGCTAGCAGTCGAGTTCGCTTTCTAAGCGCTTCTGTGCATTATAATTTGGCAGTGAAACCCCTCCCTTCTTGTAAAAAAGCGAAACTCAAGGCTAAGAATGTTGTGCTTTTTTAAGTATTTCGAGTATAGTTCAGCATGCTTCCAGAAAACCTGATATTGTTTAGTACGTCGTTAAGCCAGATTAATTCTGCAGACTTTGTGGAAGAAAAACTGAGACAACTTGTGTTTTTGCGTTTGACTGCTCATGGAACTATCCTAAACGATTGTTTTGACAAACAAAACACATTTTTATAATTAGTCAATACAACATACTATTCTATATGCTGATATAATTTAGTATTTTCGGTAATTACATGGCTAATGCTGTTTCACTGACTGATGACATACTAAGGGACGCTAACGTGAAAAACCTTGAAATATTTTCTGTTATCTGGCTTGATGAGAGTTTGAACGTTAGAGATCTGCAAGATGCTGAACAAAAACTTCGGTCTTCTATAAATTATTTGAAAAAGTTTCAAGATGTACAACACTGTCAACAGTATATCGAACAAACGTCGAAGAAAGATCGATTGATACTTCTCGTCAGTGGTCGAGCAGGTCAATTAATAGTACCAGTCATTCATCATCTTAGACAAGTTATCTCAATCTATGTTTGCTGCATGGATGAAGAGAGCAACGTACAATGGACTTTCAAATTTGCAAAAGTAGGGCTGCCCGCAAAGATTTAAATATAATGTTATGATTTCTTAATAGGTGAAAAGCGTTACTTTTGAAGTAGATCATCTTGTCTCTCGAATCACAGAAGATCATAGAATCCATTGGGGGATGGAGGAGCCATTATTACTGAATATCTTCACAACAAATGTCGCCGGGGGTAAATCGACAACTGGATTAAACGGTCAATTCGTTTTTTCTCAAGTTTTGATTGATTGTCTCTTGCAACTCAAGTATAAGGAAACAGATAAAACCGAGTTACTCGATCTTTGTAGGGCGGAATACCATGGTAATCATATTCAATTGAGGAATCTCCGGGAGTTTGAGGAAGAATATTCTGTTAATAAAGTGTTATGTTGGTACACGAGAGAATCGTTTTTTTACAAAACTCTGAACGCAGCGTTACGAAACCAAAACATTCATATGATCTTTTTATTTCGTGAGTTCATCTCAGATATTTGCCATCAGTTGCAGCAAGATCAATTTCAATATCCTGTGCGAGTGTACCGAAGTCAATTGATATCAAGCGATGAATTAAAATATCTCCAACAGCACAATGGGCAGTTCATCTCAATACAATCTTTTTTTTCGACCAGTACGAATCGCACAACAGCTCTCTTCTTCTTGGGAGATATCACCTCACTGGTTCACATGAGCTTGGAAGGTGTATTGTTTGAGATCGATGCCGATCCTCAAATGGTCACCACGAAGCCATTCGCTGATATTAGTAAATACAGCAATTTTACTGATGAAAAGGAAGTGCTTTTTATGATTGGTTCAATTTTTCGTCTTAAAAATATTTATTGCGATACGAATAATATTTGGATTATTGAAATGTGTTTATGTAGTGATGATGAATATAATCTAAAACAAGTCCTTCTGCATATGAAACGGCAAATTAGAACTGGAGAAACGAATCTTCGAACATTAGGAAAACTACTATGGAAAATGGGAAAACTGGATTTAGCTGAGAAGTATTTTAAACGCCTATTAGATGAACTGCCTATTGATGACCATTTATTTTGCATTTTATGCGAAGATCTTGGTGAGATCGCATCTCAAGCAGGTGATTATGATATGAGTATTAAGTGGCATCAAAGATTTCTTGAAATCAAAAAGCAAAACGATTTAGATATGGAAACTAATGCTAGCAAAACAAACACTCGTATTGGTGAGTGTACTGAAGGAAACTCGAGCGACCTAATAAAACTGTTGTGATAAGCAATGAGTTATCGTATTATCGAACCGAAAACCCTAGCAAAATATCCTGAAAACGCGTCCATACAGAATATACGGAACTCGAATTGATGAGAATTCATTATTTTGTTTAAAAATTAACAGCGTTCTAGTTTCTAAGTAAGAGAGAGTGAATAAAGTGAGACGTTCGAATGAAATTTATTTCGAAAATTTTGAGTTTTGCTTTCTCTAAAATTTTTCGAAATAGTGGAACACACCTTCAGGAATATCAGTCAAAATCTTTTTCGTTTCCAATATAACAATTTAACGAAAAACACTTGACTAATATTTTTAAAGAGAGCTATAGCTTGTTTCAGGTTATTCATTTTCTCATTGATATACTGTCATATGTTTATCAGCACCATCCATTTTAAAGGTGTTGTATAGGGATGCACCAATTCCAGTTTGGTTCTGTTCGGTTTCAATTCTAGAACTGGTGCATCCCTAGCGTTGTATCTCTTCTAATGTAATGTATAGGCTTTGCTGAGCATCATAGGTCTTTCTCAGAGCCGATTTTGCAGTAAACTAATCCTTTTATTGGTTCGATTTTCAATTGGAGCGCTAAACGATAATCATTTATTAATATTTCCCTTCATCCAAACGGTCATGTAAGACTTGAGATGACAGCCAAGATGCGTTCAGCTGAATAATAATGATGTACTCAAATTTGATGTCTGCGAGATTTTCTAAAGTGGGAACTGCTCCATGTGTTTTGCAATCGCTTTTGCTCTTTCTATACTCGATAACTCGTTCTAGCACAATTCAGATACCATGGTGGCGCTATCAATAGATCTAACTATCTCTTTTCTCTAGAGATTAATTATGCTCTAGATCAGGAATGACCTCATTTCCTGTTTCCTTGCGTTACATTCTTACAGAGCGAAACTCACTGTAAACTTCATCTTCTTTCTGTTGTTTTTTCAATTAGATGCAACATATAAGAAGGAAGGTGTTACTATTGCTGGAGGAAACGGCCGAGACGATAATTTGAATCAGCTCTCTCATCCTCTTGGCATATTTATCGATGACGAGCAGACTATTTATATTGCTAATAATTCAAACCATCGTATCATGGAATGGAAGTATAATGCCATAACCGGTTTGATAGTTGCAGGTGGCAATGGCTGTGGAAATCACTTGAACCAGTTAAATGAGCCTATAGACGTGCTCATTGATAAAGCAGATAATTCATTGATCATTTCCGATTCTGAGAACAGAAGGGTACTACAATGCTTTCGTGATAATAGTAAACGAGACGGACAAATTATCATTGAAGATATTGATTGTTGGGGTTTAGGCATAGATAAAAATGGATCTCTTTATGTCTCTGATTTCAAAAAGCATGAAGTGCGACGATGGCACGGAGATAAGAAAAATGCAATAGTCGTAGCAGGTGGACATGGCAAAGGAAACCAATTCCACCAGCTCAACTTTCCTACCTTTATCTTCGTTGACGAAAACTGTTCATTGTATGTATCGGATAGTGAAAATCATCGCGTGATGAAGTGGTTAAAAGATGAATCAGAAGGCGTTGTTGTCGCTGGTGGAAATGGTCAAGGAAACAGTTTAACACAACTATCTTCTCCTCGCGGGGTGATTGTGGATCGTTTGGGTCAAATATATGTGGCAGATTTCGGTAATCATCGTGTGATGTGTTGGTGTGAGGGAGCGGAGAACGGAATTATCGTTGCTGGTGGAAATGGAGAAGGGAAAAAATCAAATCAATTGTACTATCCTGAAGGTTTGTCTTTTGATCGGCAAGGAAATTTGTATGTTGCTGATCTTTGGAACCACAGAGTGCAAAAGTTTGAAATAAATTAGAGTAAAGATGAAGGATGACGGCGAAATAGAATGATACTCAGCTTATTGTACAATCTATTTATGAGATACATAAATCGATGCAGAATAACGGAGCGAATATTGCTGTGGAAAAAAAAATATTTTTTTAAAAATATATGTATTTTTCTGGTTGATGCTGTTGTACGTTCGTATGAGTCTCATATAAAACTACTGCTAAAAAAATGAGGGTGAAGTTGAGAGTAAGGATATTCTCTTAATCCTCAGCCATATCCTTCGCAACACCCCCACAAACATCCACACCCACACCCTCAAGATATATTTGCATACAGAATTAGTATTGCTCTCTATAAAATGAGAACAGCGGGTGTCTTGTTGGTAAAAAGAAAAAAAATCGTTTTTGAAGACGTAATAATTTCAATGATTCTATTCATTGATAAACGGTTTGTGTACATACATCTCGATATGGGAGATGTCGTTGAATCCCATACGTTTGTAGACCGATCGGCCCAATTCAGTGGCGTGCAGTACAATTCCATGTTTCGTGTACGGCGCTTTCTTCAGCGCATGCTCAATGGAGGCTCGCATAGCGACTTCCGCGTAACCATGCTAAAAAGACATGAGAATACATAAAAATGAGCGTAAATGAAGTGTCTGCAGCTGATTACGGGTTAGGTATATCCGTTTCATACACAACCACGGCTATAAACATGTTATGTATAATCATTTCATATTTCACGGTAGTAGAAAGTGAACTAAGCTTTTTGTAAAACGAACTTGTTAAATCTATATTGCGACATGAAGCATCTCAACAATTTTCACCGAGACTTAAAGAAGTACAACTCACATAGAAGCCTAGATATTTGTCAACCTGCAACGGTACTCTCGTAATGTTCAACGCTCTACGATTTCAGGGGAGAGACTTTAGTTCGTGAAAGGTCTAGCTCAGTTTCTGCAACTATATTTCACTAACTTTCTCATGTGAGAAAGTTCAACTATAGAAACATATAGATATGCTTCAAATTGTACAGTAGCAAATCTTTAGATATCATGAACCGTATAATTACGGCTTTTATGGATAATTTTCAGCATTGTTAAAAAGTCTGCTTATTTTCATAAAATAAACAGTATATCACAATAACCTGGCAAACAATCGAGCGCAAGTACTGTTCAATCGGAAGAATTATTTATCAAGAATTAGATAATGCTGACGAGTTTCGAAAATATCACTCACTATGTTTTGGTAAGCGCTTTCAATGGGTTTAGCTCTGATTTGATATTTACACGCCGAGCTGATTAACATTCTCCAGATATTATAAACAAATTTATGATTGAATGCATGTACGGGGTGTTCTGAAAATCATATAACAGACTTTTTTCAATGTATTTCTGCTATTTCATGGAACTTTATCGATAAGTAATTTGCAGATTGATGTTATGAATACCAAACATTTATTCGTTCGAACAATCTTCTAAAATGACATGCAAGAGCATTACTTTCGATGGATATCCAGAAATTTAGCACAGCTTCTGAAATGCAATCAGTTACGAAATCAACTAAGCTTTTCTTTTGATATTCTTAGATGGATAGATAGAGCTCGTAGAGTGCCACTAGAAAACCTATAATCAAAGATTAATCTTGAAATTTTTAGATACGAAATTTATAGACAGATACTACGAAACGTGAACACAGTCAGAAGATAAAACAAATGCATTCTATGTTTTTGAGAACGCTGAGTGAGCTATATTAGCGATGGCGCCAGAACGCTAAAATCCCTCTTGTTTTGAAGGGTAGTGAAAGGTGGCGCCCCTACAACAGGTATCACTCTGTCCGATATATATAGCACTAAATAGATATTTTTAATAAAACAGCACTTTGTGTAAAGATGCCGCCACTACAGCTAAATTTCTGTAGATCAATAGAATCTAATGTTCTCAGATGTCAATATGAGAGAACAATCTTAGTTGTAGCTCGTATCCTTTTTTTAAAAGTTAAGTTTCCTGAAGAGTATTGAGTTCGAAACGACGAAAACTTTATATTTAGAAATAGATCTCAATCGGCATATTTTAGTCATTTCACCAAAGAAATCTTGCTTACTTCCATGCGACTTTTCCTGTCTCATCGAGACTCAAAGCTATCCTTGCAAACAATTAGCACTCTAATGGACCAGCGTTTTAACCCTTCCAACCCTTACTCGTCAAAAGTTTTTTAAAATCGCTCAATTTCTTAACGAAGTTAACACATTATCTTTTATATGTACTGTAATCAAAGTTTATCAAAATTAACGTCGTATTATATATTTATATTAGCGGGTCATACTGATAAAAAACTTAGAATATGAACCGTTTCAACACTAGTACTAACTTCAGTTTAGTGGTGTTGCGGTGCATTGCCATTCCAGCGGATGACTGAGATAAATCATTTAATAAGAGTACAAGAATAGCCCTCAAAAATACTGCGCTCGATGCTTCTCAGGCAGTTCTTTCTCTTGAGACATGAAAGACAGAGTGTTGCAGAATACTTTTGCATTACTTTCTAATGAATAAAGAACAACATTTGAGACAACAAAATGACTGGGATTCTGAATCAAATAATAAAGGTGATTCAGACACATGCATGATTTCCCTGACAAAATGCCGGAAAATATTCATCAGGATCGGTCGGTGGGTGAGTGTTTTTCTTAATTCACTTAAAATGTCAAGTGTCGTTCAGTCTGCCTATCGAAACGTTTTAGATAAAATGAATACCATTCCGTTGCTAATTTTATATTGAAAACATGAACGACTCAAGAGTACTGTCTTTTAAGCTACACAAACATACCATACGATGCTGCGTGGAAGTTGCAACTAATGCCACATATAAACATTTGTCTAACACTACTGTTGTAGCAGTTGCGACTGGTGTGCTATTGATGGAAACTAAACAGCAGAATTGTTTATCAAAATCAGTGACCAATGCGTGATTATTCACTATGGTTTCAGCAACAGATTCCTCCATATGATATGCTTGAAGGTTCAATAATGCAGCATTGTAGATGTCGCTGTTACAAGTCGCAAAACTTATCTCTGCCTCTGGCAAGGATCGTACAGGCTGCAATAAATCTCTAGCCTGCATACATTTGAAATCAGAAGCAAGAATAAAGCCAGCTACTGAACAGATCTCCTTTGATCGTTCAATCATTTCGAGGGGAAGCCATTCTGGTTCAATAAATAGTGCCCATGCAAAACTTGGTTTCATCTGTTTTATATATTGTTTGATCTCATCTAACCGCCAGCGTAAATCTTGTTCATCTACCACAGTAGTTGCCAAAAAGAATCCGTTCAGAAATCTAAAGTTGCTTCGTGTCCAAGCTAAAACAACACCACAGTCGAGTTTAGCCACAACACCCTGCTTTGCATGCTGCGCACAATGACGTATAAACGATTGGCATTGTAAATTCATGGACATCTGCTCCATTCTAAGTGCAAAAAAAACAAGAGATATGCTTCATTGAGAGTGGGTTGACGAAACGCGATTCGTTTAAGACTCAAAAATACTTCTTAAACACTGCTCTTGAAAACAATGCGATGAGATACATATGCTCTCCATGATTTTCTCTCATGATTTTCTCTCATGATTTCTTTCCAGTTTTCATCTTGAGGGTGGTTGTGGGTGACGATGAAGGTGTGCTAGTGTAGATTTGGGGGAGAGGAGGAGGGTGCGGAGTGAAGGTGAAAAGAACAGCATCACCCTCATTGCACACCCAACTCGTCATTAACACCCTTGTCCAAAAGAGTCGTTCAGTTCTTTCCGATAGAAATCCGCTGTCTCAATGATCAACTTCGGGCTTCTATTAAAGGCTTTGCGATTCTTTTAAATTCCATTTATGTTTCGATCTTGCATCATTCCCGTTGAACCGTTAGAAAGAAAACTTATATCGCGAATAGCAATCTCCTACTTGACGACACGGTGTGTAGAGGAAAATACATAACATTTAACCTAGCTCGAATTTTTTGCAGAAAAAATCTCGAAAAATGCAGTTATCCGCAAACTTAATTATAAATTGGTTATCAATACTCCTGCTCCGAGTCGTACTCCCCTGGGTCATATGGTGCGTTGGTTCTCGGATTCCAATCTTCTATATCAGAAAACCATTCTAATGAACAAATTACTGTAATTCATTGTGATAAGTTTTCGACGGATCAGTAACATGCTGATACAGAAGCAAAGAGTGCATGCTAGGAAGACTTTGCTCTTCGGGAAAGAAGATGCGGAAGATTATTGGTATCGTGACATTTTTAATAGCGAGTATGAGCAACTGACCTCAACGTTACTTACTTCTTCGTTTGTGCGACTGATAATGGACTACGTACTTATAGAAGGACGATGCTAAAAAACGAGCGCAAAACAGGATCGAAGGAACAAAATATCAAAACGTAGATCCGAAATTAAGATCTATTCTAGGAGAAAAGAGAAAAGAAACTGTGAACCTGATTGCATCAGAACTCGATGATGGTAATGAGTACGTTCATCGACAGTCTGTTTCTAAAAGTTTTTGGCGATCGAAATGCGCGAGGGCATCTCCGTTAAATGGTACGTTACATCACTAATAATCGCTGAACGTCGCAACTATTTGTCTGATGAAATTGAAGGCTTCAATCGGATAAACATCAGTTTTCAAACAATTCTGAATCGATTAAGCTCATGGTTCTGTGATCTTTGTTTTTAAAGTCAATTTCTAAAGGAAAGGTGTTGAAGCTCATTGAGAAGATGAATCAATGGAAGCCATCTATGATAGGAGGATTTATGTCTTATCGTCAATACTCATTTTCGCCAATGGTACATTCGTCAATGTGGAATATCCACAGGAACTTCGCCAATTGGCGAAGAGATTTTACCCCATGGTAGAGCATGCTTCAGAATACGTAATCACAAAACCATTGTATTTCTACAGGGCATCATTCATCTTACTTAAAACGCACGATTTGCTAACCACTCATTATCCTTATTTTATTGAATTGCTGAATATTCATTTATATGTTACATCATCCGTGCTAATACCCATTTATAATTTGATCTTCGCTTTATCGTCTGACTTGGCAACACTGGAATTAAACATTAAGAATGACTTAACAAGAGGTTGAGAGTAGTTCAGTAACTTCGAACGATACAGAGAACAAAGGGACTGAGAAATTTCAAAACTATTCAGAACGCGATTCATCTGTTTTGTCTAAAGTCTGGTTACTTACACATTTGAAACCCTCTAAAATTTCAAAATCACTAAAAGTTGACGCGGCAAATCTAATCGTGTCCGTCCCTTACAGAGCTATATGTTTCTTTCAAAAATCTGATTAATGTACCAATTTTTCTAACTATCCGAGTTGTAAGAAGACTAAAAAATGCTTTAGAAACCAACATCATAAAGAAAACATGGCTGTCTTCTTGCACGAAATTAAGCTTGAGTATTTTCTCACTATGGTCTCCTTAGAAGCAAAGACGTCGTGATTACTGTACCAACCTACAGCTGTGACTAGCCCTCGCTCATGCATAATCTCTAAAGTTATTCGTCTATCATAGCCATTCAAACCAGGAAACAAATAGTGGGAACAAAAATACTAAACCGTTCGACGTCAGGCGAAATCAAGAGTAGAAAAAAATAGAAATGAGGATAACTAGTTAATCTCGGACTAGAATAGCTAATGGTTAGAACATAAAAAAAATTAATAATAATGCAACAAAAAAACAATATTAATTCAGTATTAAGACACCTTTCTAATTCAACAGAAAAAAAATCTCGTGAGAGATTTGAGGAGTAAAGCAAAAAATGACAGCAAATAAAATATCTTATGGCGCAAATAAATAATCCTTTTGTTAAAACCCATCATATCAAATGTCATTCAAAAGCAGCGTTGACTGAGATAAGAAAAAGTATTGCCTTTATCAAGCAATAAAAAATAAAGTAATAGGAAAGAAAAGAAGCAGGTGGGCTTCTCAAATTCATAGCAAAACAAATCGTATACGCATCACAGTTAATTTACAAGTTTAACCGACTTTGAAATTTATCAAAAAAAACCTCGTTTAAAAAGAAACTTTCGAGAAAAACTCAAAACTTAAGTAGTGACCGACATAGCATGCGATTATTCGTAATGGTACAAAGAAGATGAGATGGGTGTGAGGGTTAGGATACGGGCTAAGAGAATACCCACATCCTTACATTAAATCCACACCCATATCCCTGTTCAAAGGACTCATCAAACGAACTGACAAGCACATTATTTGATTGATATTTACCTGGTAGTCTCAAACATTATTTTATTTTCACTCATCCGATTGGCAAAAATTTCTTAGAAAAAGTATAGATAAAAATCGATCGATCACTTCATATTGTCAGAGCATCTCAATTATCAATTAAACCCGTTGGTTGTATGTGACTGATTTACATTTGACTAAGAAAATATTTACATCCTCAACATTTGATCACTTACTGTAACCATAAAACGTCTCGATTAGCAAGTGATGACTCTCTATATAAATGCAGAGGTAGTTTTTTTTCGTTCTTCTTCAATTTATTGTTTGAACAGGGATAAAAGAAAATAGTTTGATAAACAGCACGCATATAGAGAAAAAAAGAAAAAAACGTTATTATACTATTTCTTTTTCTTTCTACTGCGTGATTCGATACTAGACGTGTGTCACATTCTTCCCTTTGTAATTTATTAACTTGCACCCAAACCAAACTGAAAGTGAACAAGAAAGACGGAAAACAAAGAATTTTGAAGAGTGGGGTCGGTGTAGGTGTAGATATGGGTTTGAGTGTTGGTAGATTTAGGTGTGGGCGCGGAGTGTTTCTTTTCGATTTACAATCATACCCACCCACACCCACCCTTAGGTGGTGGTTATGAATTAAATAAAAAAATTAATTAATGAACAACATCAGGTTATAGAATTTGGATTAAATCAAGTTATAACAAAAGAAACATTAAGTGATAAAATATATTATTTCATCGTATTTAATAATCAATTTATTTTTTATTTTATGTACAAAAAGGAGCTCTGTATGTAAATAAACGTCTGAAGATGATGCTCGTGAGAAGAACGTCGAAATATAACGAAAAGAAATGAACCAAACATATACAACATCATATACATAGTTGCATTTCACATATGTATCAAATAGATTCATTAAATCTGATAGAATATCTGTTGTTGATAAACTAAAACCTATCGACTTTTTCTTTCATGGCTTCATCATCAAAGGGCCATATACCAGCACGTGGAGACCCACCAGAAACTGATGCAACTGTGAACAAACTGGAAAAAGCTCAGGAAAGTCCATCTTTTGAATAGTTTTTTCTTTTCTTTTTTTGAAAATAAGTTTTTACTATGTTTTTCCATGTCGTTTTAACAACACTAAAAGAATTAATATAATAGTTAAATAGTGATATGAAAAACGTTATAAACTGTATATATATACGCATTATGCAAAAAGATTACTGTTTACTATTTCAACAGGTAAATATACTAATGTTAATTATCTCTCAAGTTCAATTTTCAGTTATCACTTTTATCTGTTTTATTCCATGAACTCTTGTATCATTTACTGTAGTATCATCCATAGTTCACTATGAGTAAAGTGATATGAAAGGGTATAAAACATATACTGTGATTTACTAATATGTTAGCAAATTAGTAAAACGAATTCTTATGCAATTTGTCGGTCTTATTCTCGAAACATTACTTATAATCATTTTTTCATACTATGAAAAGGTAAATTTCGTAACAGAATCCATTGTAAAAAGGTCGACATAATGAACTTCGACTAGGGTATTCTTAATAAACTGTATCAAAGAATAAATATATACTTGTGACTATTGACATACAAATGCTATTCAAGATGAATATTTTCTAGTTTCATGCATAAAATATGAATAAAAACATACTCGAATGTTGAGACGTCAAGTGGTTGCAATCCATGTGTTGTGTTTGGTGGTAAACATATCAAAAGTACTTGATTGTTTTGAGCTAATTCGATAGCTTTGATAGATATATAAGCAGATAAATTATCCATTAATAGAAGTAATGGTTGTCGTATATTTGCTGTCTCGATAAGAAATAATTTTTCAAACCAATCCACGAATAGATTTTCGTTGATACGGGTGTGAGTGTGGGCGTTTTAAACAAAAACTTACTTTCCACTTGCTGATGTACATATTAATAACGTCGTATGCGACTGTCCTGTACCGGACTGTGATGATGTTTCATGTTTTGTGCTACGCTTAATGATGACAGATCCTTAACTAGGCTCATTGGTGAAAACAGCTTCATCGACGTTCCAAAACGCATCTGGTGTATCAAACAAGTTATATTTTGTCAACACCCTTGTGAAGATGTTTGAACCAACCATTTACAAATGAACATTGTAAATTTATGAAGAAAATATCTATGTAAAGAAAAGTAGCAAAAAAACACTTATTATTACTATTTGTATTAACAAAGTACAAATATTAGACTTTTCCTACTATGTTAAGTGAAAATTTGCACTATTTCGTACTTTTTAAAGTAGTTGTAAATACTTTGTTGCTTTGAGATACTTAACTTTAATTCATATACTTGCAAAACTATGTATTTTTACGTATTTTCCTTTATAAAGTACTTTTTAACACTTGTGTCATTATAATATCTACTTTCATACACTTAAAAATTTCGAAACTTTCTCAATTATATTGGAATACTTTGTGACTTACATTAGTACTTTTTAGTACTTTTTGGCTAACGTATGAAAAATACGTAAGAAAGGATTACTTTTGAGTACTATTTCCTGTCAAAAAATAACTATTGAAAGTACTTAATAGTCACTTTTTTCGAATCAGAATTTTTACATGATTATTTTAGTATTTTTTCTACTTTTTGAACAAAACTTATTATTAAGTACTACAGTAAGTATAAAAAAATATTAAATTTTATTTCAAAGGCTAAAAATAGCGAACTAAAGTAATTTTATTCTTTGTCATTAATATTTAAAGTAATTAGTAGTACTTTTAATTCAGCCTCGAAATTACAAAGCACTTTTAACTACTTTAAATAGTAACAAAAAGAATAAAACTACTTTAGTTTACTATTTTTATATCATGTTTTTACTAAAAATAGCAGAAAAAAGTTTCTTTTCGCTTACTTTTCTTCTACATGGGTATACTGTAAAAGATCGTAATTTTACTTGTTTCCAGTAAGTATAGATATAAATTGGTCAGATATCTTCAGACGATTTCAGAATTAAACAAGAATGTTTATTATTATCATTATTTACGTCTTGATTTTCCATGAAAACAAAGAGATCAATCGACTGTTTTGTTTAATCAATTACAAATATGTCATAGCGTATGTATTCAAAGATAAATGTTCGAGCGTACGTTAACGACAACAATTTGTTCATTCCTTAGTCATATGAGAAGAAAACCAATAGAATTTTGCTGGAAAATGTCTATAATTTATTGTTATTTAATATAGAATGTGGGTATGTTTGAGAAATTATACAGTACAAATCCCAAAAACTATATTATTAGGCAATGTTTAACAGCCAAGAAGTGGGAGGATAATCTTAAACCATTTGAGTTTTTAAAAAGACAAAAGAAACGGCGTTAATACGATTAGGAAGCATACTTAGAAAATTCGTATTCATCGGTTTAGTTGAGTTTCCGAGGAAAATAGCATATGAGGGTGTGGGTGTAGGAGACCACCGATACAAGAACAATAGTTTCCATTAAAATAAACGATTTACATAAACAGCCTTCTAGATAATAAGAATTTTCTATAATATAATCTTTGTAAACCATTAAAATATTCTTGATTATACGCTTTCCATATATTTAACTCATCTATTCAATGAAAGCAATATTACAGTCGGTGACAAAAGAGGAAAAATATGCAGCTTCGACTTTCTTTTCAAATTCGTTTCTTTACACTCTCTCTCTCTTCATTCTGATAAGTGATCATACATGCAAGAACGAAAATAGGGTGGTAGCAATAATAAAACTGCATTAACGTTTGTTTGCATCGTTGTCAATGTCCTTTTTTTATTCACCTCTCTTGCTCTTTATATTTACATTCTATATAAAGCTAGAAAAAAATAAAATTATTTGTCACAGAATAAGTAATTATCGGTTATTGACAAATCTTCTTTTCACGGAACGATTTTAACGAAAAGAAATTATTTGTCTCATATGGAATACCTGTATATCGTACACAATTCTGACAAAATACTATTAACGACATTTTTCTTCATAGGTTTTCATACAATAGAATATATAATGATCATTAGTTTAGTTGCGCATGCATTCATTGTTGTAAAATCGATGGTGCAAAATTTTTGCATGAATTCTATCTTTAATAGAGTTTTTCTGCAAACAGCGTTTGATAATCATTTCAATAAACTTTCAACTATTTCTTTCGTTTGAGCAAGCTTATTTTTTAACTACTTTCAACAATGCGATAAAATCGGTAATGCATGATAATGCGTTTACGATTGGTCATTTTTACCATTATGAATGTGTGATAATTTCTTTTCCGTACAAAACTAGTATTCCGTACTTCAATTGTAAAACTGGAATTAGTAAAGCAGATAGATGGTGTACTACGTTATCATGTGTGAAAAATGAAGTTTTACAATTTTTAAAAACTACTTACAATACAAGTTTTTTGAAGACATTCGTACAAAATTCGTTTCTTTTCAAACAAATAAATGCGTAACCTCGGATTTTATCCGAGAGTTATGTGTACTGCAAAAAGTGGAAATAGACATTAACCTGTTTTTTTTATTCTTAGTCAACAATAAACAGTTCTAACAGCAGTGTCAGTATATGTGAGTTTTTCATAGTTTTCGGATAGTGTAATGTTGAGAAAACCTCGAACGCACCATATTTACCCCCCCCCCTATTATTATTCAGAGCTCTTCACAAATTCTATCTACTCCAAAAACACTAGATAAGAAGAGTTATTTTTAATTGAATTTGTGTTTGTATCTAGGGGAATTACGATCATAAGCAACCTCATGAATCTATAAGAGATATATGATAGATACAGACACGAGTATTTTCATAATAGCTCACCAATGTTAATAGCTATCGAGTTGGGGTTTTTATCTTTCGACGGGCCTTTTGACCAGCTACAAAACCAGGTATTTGGAAAACCCCAACACTACTAGTCATCTGAGACATATCTAGACAATCTGGTGTCTGGATACAGTTATTGTGCATTTTGAGACCTTTTTCAGGGGATGTTCTGTTATAAAGCTACGATTTGGTTCAAAACTGATATTAGATTCGGAATCAGCGCTAAAAACTGAGTCGATTTATATATGTTGGAATAATTTTGAGAATAATTTTTTTTTTGAAAAAGAAATCCTTGTACTCCCCCTCAGGGATGGTCTGTTCAATAATGAGAATTTCTTTTATAACTCAGCAATGGTACAACCGGTTGAGCCCATCTTCGAACTAGACCGAGATCTAGATAAGATTAAACTGTGCACAAAATTTCAGCTCAATCGGACTATTCTTTCAAACGTTATCGAATAAACGGACGGCCGGCCGGACGGCCACACTGACCGATTCTAGTAGTGTACTCACTTTTTGAGTACACAAAAAGAACAAAGTTCTTACAATATTCTTAAATCAATAGCTATTTCTCGTTCACTGATACAGTCCCTTTTGTTCTAATAAAATCCTTGCGACCATTCCATAACAAAACGACGTATGACGAAGAGAAGCAACATTCGTTGAATGAATCATATTTCTTTTACCCTTTCATTTCAATAACAAAGTGCTGCATGTACATCGGCATAATCGAGTAATTGCGCAGATGGAGACAAGAGAAAATTGGAAAGAATCACTAGAAAACGAAATTATTTCATTGGCTTTTGGTTTCTTTGTTGTGTCGTGAACGCTGTTAAGAAAGTTATTTACCTCGTTCTGTCTCTTACTCTTCACAATAGTATTTTAAAAGGTGACTGGCTGTAGTTTCTCTTCGAATCGTGACAAAAAAGACGCACATTTTGCATACTGAAAAAAACCGAAAAAGCACGCCATTGCTGTTATAAATAAGAGCAGTGAGTTTTGTCACCATTTAAACAAAAACAATTATTGACAAGCTTATATTCAACATCAAATTATCATAAGGACCAAATGAGTGGATCAGGATCTAATCAAGAAGCTTCTTTACCATCAAATCCATTTATAAATAATAATAGTGCAACAATAACATCACCTGATGTTATTCGACTAAGGCGATGGGTGATTCAAAATTATTCAATCCTTTGGTTAGATGAGTGCATGGACGAAACAAGCAAAGATTATGAAAATAGTTTGACACAAATACGAACTATCGCCGACAATGTGACCGTCTTTAAGCAACGTGATGAATGCATCGACTTTCTGACAGATGGTCAAGAAGACATCAAGTCTTATCTGGTTGTCGAAAATAGTATGGCTCAACAAATCATACCCCTTATTAATGATATCCCTCAACTGGATAGTGTTCATGTCTTCGGTAACATTAAATCCTTAAGTGAAGAACCGACAAAAAAATGGCAAAAAATCAAGAGGGTTCATACCAATACCGATGATTTATGTCAAGCATTACAATTCGGTATTAAACAATACCATCAAGACTCGATAGCCATGAGTTTTATTACAGCAAATGAAATGGCCTCAACTGATAATTTGAATCAGTTGGAGCCAACATTTATGTACACCCAAATATTCAAGGATATTCTTCTTGATATGGAACATGGCAAACAAGCCATCAAACATTTTACCGCTTACTGTCGAAATAATAACAGCGTCTCACCAACTAATATCGACCGTTTTGAGAAAGAATACCATGCTCAATCCGCTATCTGGTGGTATACTTTCCCATCCAATATCTATTCAATGCTCAATTATGCTCTTCGCTCTATGGAAGGCGATACTATTATTAATATGGGTTTTTTTATTAATGATCTTCATCAACAAATCCTGGAACTATACCACAAACAGGTTAATAGTGATCATGGCAAATCATTCATAGTTTACCGGGGACAAGGTTTGTCAAAAGCAAATTTTGAAGAACTCAAAAAAACAGAAGCTGGTTTACTGTCTTTCAATAACTTTTTGTCCACTAGTACCGAGCAAGACGTAGCTCTCGGACTTGCTTACAGTGCATCAGAAAACGTGGATATGGTTGGCATTCTATTTGTAATGTCTGTTGATCCCAATGTAAAATCAGCACCATTCGCTTCTATCAAAGAGTTGAGCTATTTTAGGGAAGAGGATGAAATCCTCTTTTCAATGCACACCGTGTTTCGAGTGAGTGCAATTAAACAGATGGACGATAACAATCAACTTTATCAAGTTGAATTACAATTAACATCGGATGATGATCAACAATTACGATTACTTACTGATCGGATACGAACAGAAGCTGGTGGTACTGGATGGCACAGACTGGGTAACTTATTGCTTAAAATCGGTCAATTTAATAAAGCTGAAGAACTTTGTAGCGTATTACTCCAACAGACATCTGATGAGAGCGAAAAAGCGCTTTATTATGGTTCTCTCGGATGTGTCAAAATAGGACAGGGTGATTATGAAAAAGCTATTTGGTATTACGAACAAGGACTTAAAACGTATCAAAAAACTATTCGTTCATATCATCCTTATTTGGCTACTTCATACAATAACATTGGTGCTGTGTATGACATGATGGGAGACTACTCGAAAGCACTTTCATCTCTCGAAAAAGCACTTGAAATTCGACAAAAAACTCTTCCTTCAAATCATTCTGATTTGGCCACGACGTACAACAGCATCGGTTTGGTGTATAAAAACATGGGCGAGTACTCGAAAGCAACTTCATTTTACGAAAAAGCGCTTGAAATGTATCAAAAAACTCTTCCTTCAAATCATCCGGATTTGGCTACTTCATATAATAACATCAGTGCTGTGTATGACATGATGGGAAACTACTCGAAAGCACTTTCATCTCTCGAAAAAGCACTTGAAATTAAACAAAAAACTCTTCCTTCAAATCATCCGTCATTGGCTACGTCATACAACAACATCGATTTGGTGTATAAAAACATGGGAGAGTACTTGAAAGCACTTTCATTTTATGAAAATGCACTTAAAATGTATCAAGAAACTCTTCCTTTAAACCATCCTTTATTAGCCAATTCATACAGCAACATCGGTTTTATTTATAGCAAGATGGGAGAGTACTCGAAAGCACTTTCATCACACGAAAAAGCACTTGATATTCGACAAAAAACTCTTCCTTCAAATCATCCGTCATTGGCTACGTCATACAACAACATTGGTTTTGTGTATGGCAAGGTGAGAGAGTACTTGAAAGCACTTTCATTTTATGAAAAAGCACTTAAAATGTATCAAAAAACTCTTCCTACAAATCATCATCATATGGCTACTTCATACAACAACATCGCTGCTGTGTATACACAGATGGGAGAGTACCCTCAAGCACTTTCATTTTACGAAAAATCAATTGAAATCCATCAAAAAACTCTTCCTTCAAATCATCCTTCATTGTCTATTTCATACGACAACATCGGCTTCATGTATAACAGCATGAGGCAGTACTCGAAAGCACTTTTATCTCTCGAAAAAGCACTTGAAATTAAACAAAAAACTCTTCCTTCAAATCATCCAGATTTGGCTACTTCATATAATAACATCGGTGCTTTGTATGACATGATGGGAGACTACTCGAAAGCACTTTCATTTTATGAAAAAGCACTTAAAATCTATGAAGAAACTCTTCCTTCAAATCATCCGGATTTGGCTAGTTCATTCAACAACATCGGTAATCTGTGTAACATGATACGAGAATACCCGAAAGCGCTTTCATTTTACGAAAGAGCACTAGAAACTATACAAAAAACTCTTCCTACAAATTATCCTTATTTGGCTATTTCATACAATAACATCGCTAATGTGTACGACAAGATGGGAGAGTACTCGAAAGCACTCTCATATTTTGAACGTGCTCTGGACATATTCCAGCGTAAATTATCTCCAACTCATTCTGATATAAAAACTGTCAAGAACAATATTGAAAACCTCAAAAAGAAATTATAAAGAATAATTGATAAATAAAAGAATGTTTTGTTCATTTATTTTTAAATTAATTGTATTTTTTAGTTGTTTATGCGTGCGTACCGAGAACAGTTCTGTAAATAATACAAACGTAATGAACAAAGCCGACTGATAAAGTAATACACATACATATGTATGTGCATAAATGATCTTTTCAGACATATTTACGCTTCTAACTCTTTACGAGGGTGTGGATGTGGGTGTGACTGTAGCTGTTTTAATCTAAAACTTACACCCACACCCTCACCCACTTACTTTCAAGATATTTTGGGCCCTGTCTTGATGGAATATGTACCAATATCTGCTTGTGTCAGTGTTGAAGGTTAAGCATTGGTCTCATGAACTCAGATCTGGACACGACGAATCAGTTTCATAGTGTTTTGTGAAAAAGAAGAAGAGACAGCTTTGAGTGCTTATCTCCATTGTCTTCTATGGCCCAATTGTAATTCAAAATCTGTATCGTCTAGTATATGACTCTGATGGACACATCATCCAAATAGTTATGTCATGATCCGAGGCATTGCCCAAAGATATAGTTATTCCCATAATCTTTTGTGATGAAAAAATACGTTCAGAATTTTCACAAAGCCTTGTGTGTTGTTCCTTACCGTTTTCTTTGTCTCTGTATGAGAACTTTGTTATTAATCCTGTGATTATTTGTGGGTGTGGATGGGTGAGTGAGGGTATGGATGTAGGTATATCTATATCCTCTTACTCCACACACCTACCCACACCCATACTCTCAAGATTATGAATTTTTATATTGAAATTTTAGAAAACTTTTTCAAAATATCCAATAGCTTTTTCATATAGATTTAATTTTCGATACCAATTTCCACACTCTGTTAATACAGTCCATCTGGGTTAATTCTTGATCGTTCATTTTCATGATTATGATTAGTAGTAGGTTTTTCAATACATTCAAGTAATTCAATTTTCTTTTCACGATTGATCAAATTATCATTTTTAATTTTCAAATAACCACCATAAATATTAAGTGGTTCGGTTACCTAAGAATTTGAGTGATGTCATAATCCCATTACACCGGGTATTCTACTACAAACACGTCGCTTACAAAGTTACCCCGCTAGGATATCGTGCAACCACCTCGTTACCCCAAAGATGTATATGTGAAAAGCTGAGGAATA